GGATATTGAGCAGGAATTGTTCCCTGTCAGGGTGCCCAGAGCAGCTGTGGCTGCCCCTGGATCCCTGGAAGTGCCCAAGGCCAGGCTGGACAGGGCTTGGAGCAGCCTGGGACAGGGGAAGGTGTCCCAGGGGTGGCAGTGGATGAGCTTCAAGATTCCTTCTAACCAACTTTGCATTTGCTCCATTGAGAAAAATCTGGAATAAAGCATTAGCAGAGGGAATCGTTATCAAATTCATCTTGGCCAAGCAGAGAAAATGAGAGGCAGCATAAAAAAGAGCCACTGATAAGGGGCAGTGCAGATACCAGGAAAGAAGACAGAATTTCCTGAGCATCAAGATTAAAAAGTGGTGTGAGATCTGTGACACTTTCCTGGCCAGGAACAGGCAGCTGGAATGTGGCCACCACTGGAGCTGGGAGCAACTGGAAATTTGTCAATTATTCCATCAAGGGTGAACAAGATTCTCCCTAGAAATCAGAATTTGCACGATGGATTTCAAATCTGCTTCTCCCCTCTGCAAAGCTGAGAGTTTAACACCAGACAGACCTCGTGTAAAGAAATCAGGGGATTTATAAATGTACCCACCTGCCCTTGAAGAACTTGCTGTTTTTTATTGTGCAGCTCAAGATAGGAATTCACTTTCTCTGATTGTAACCCCAAAGTCCGTTTATTTTTTTTCACAAAGTTGTTTTTTGCTCTTTGGGGTGGATTGTGTTGATTCTGAGGAGGAAAAGCAAGGCCAGGACTATTTTTGGGATGAAATCCATCTGCAGGTTCCTTCCTTTTGGCTTGTGGCCCAACAGCTTCGTTGCTGGCCACATTTGCTCCATAAAAGCTGAATAATTCTGGACCAGACTCTGGCAGTGAATGCTGGGTCTTTTCCTCCTGTTGATTATTTTCTGAGGAGCCATCAGAATGGAGATAAAATGAATCCAGTGAAAAGTCTCCACTGCTTTCTCCAGAAATTTGGGATGCTTTCTCTTCCTTAAAAAATTCTGCTCCCTTTCCTGCACTCTTCCAATGAGGATTGTACCTCAGGCTGGGATATTTGTCCACAGGTAGTTTTTTCCTAATTAAAAAACAAACACCAAATTATTTCTGCATAAATTGTATAAATTCTGATTTGTGTGATGTCCTGACGTGACCAAATGAATTATTTCAGTGCATTCAGTACGGGATCAGGATCAGAACAGTTTTATCAAAGATTTTTTAGTAGAAAATTTAGGCAGGCCTTCCTCTTCCTTTGCAATTTGCATCATCAGTGAATGATAAATCGGTCTAACACTCAGATCACATTGGAATACAATTATTACCCTGAATCTGGCATAGAAGTTTTTAAATCCTAGTAGAATCAGCTAAAAGGTGAAATGATAAATTGCATTATATAGTCTAGAAAGGGCAGTTTGTGTTGCTCCTTCTTCAAAGGCTCTGCTGAGTGAAATAAAAGTGAAATTCCTGGTAAAATCAGTTCTTTAAGTTTCCTTTGGAGACTGTCCAAGCAAGAACATCCTCCAGCTCTCTGTTCTTATTTTCTCTCCTCATTCCTGTGAAACATCACGATGCTTTGATTCAAAAACTCCTTCTATAAATGAGTTTAAATCACCTTTTATTAAAAAACAGGTGGTGATTAGATAAGAGTAGAAAAACATAAATGAAAAGTCTGTGTGTTTGACAATTGTTTCAGCAAGAGGCCAAATTATTGCTCTGAGTTACATTTGTCATAAAGCAAAGCCAGATGCTCTGCCTTAAAAAATCCACAATTGATCCAATTTCTGATTTAAGATCTGATCCAATGTGAGGAAAGCCAACTGCAGGAGCCAAATCCATCCAAACAGGTGTCCAGGAGATGTGCAGGCAGTGGCAGGAGGATGGAATGGGGGAAAAAGAAAGCTTTTAACACCATTTTTTCTTCCCTGGACGTGCAGTACAGCCCTGGTTTTTGCTGATTCTGCCAGAGGGACATTTACAGGCACCAAAACCTGGTTGATTCTTCAGCTCCTATTAAAGAAATCTGCTGGATTCCTCAACCTGCGGCCTAGTTAATGTTATTAACATTTCAATAAATCATTTATTGCTCTTTTCTCAACGAGTTTCATGCCTCTGCCTATATTTCAAGTGGCTCCTAATAACAAAATAATCTGTTTGTCTTTGCTTTCCAGGTGAGCATAGGTGCCACGGTCTCCTGGAGCTGATTTCCACCAGGGAAAACATCATTATTCCCATCTGGCAGGGGCTGCAGGTAAACAGCGCGAGGTGAGGCTGTTTTGAAGTGAGTACAGAAATATGTGAGCTAATTGCAATGATTGAAATGGCAGAGGATAATGCTAAAGAGTCCCTTTGTGCTGAAATGTGTGCACAGAACCCAATTGTGGGGCTCAGCCCAGGTCACCGAGCGGGGACAAAATGAGTGTGAAGAGCTCCTTCATCCCTAATCATCCCCAGACAAAAAGGGCACCTTTTATTCCTGCCCCCAGCTCCGTGGGGAGGTTGGATGGACTCTGTGCTCCTCAACAAAAGTGTGGTGAGCAGACAACAGCTGCAGCATTTCCTCTTCAAATTCCGAGGTTGGTAATGGATGTAGAGAGGGGGTTTCATATGTATGTGCTGTGATATTTGCGCTGCTTAATGGACTGCACTGGAGTACTTACTGGGCTAAGTTCAAACAAAATAAAATCAAATTTCCATTTAATGAAGAGCCTCACATTCAGCACAGTATTCAGTCCAAAAAAATTACTAAAAATTAGAGCATGTTTCTAGTACAATTAACATCATTTGCACTCACAATAAAATATTCAATAACTGGCCATTTTGCTTGTTGAGGAGGTGAATAAAAGCATGCTATTAATCATTTAGCCTTCATTTGTTTGTCATTTTATTTTAAGTAGACTATTAAATTGAAACTGCACATTGTTACTACTTCAGGTTTAATGTAATCCCTTTAAACTCAAGAATTATTTCCAATTTATCCAGGGTTAAACCTTCCATGCACACGACAGGATATTCAATTTTATTTTATGTACTGAATTAATGCTTTCTGAAGGATGTTTAAATGTGGCCTTGAGGAACATCAGGTTAAAAGTGTCAGAATTATTCTACTCCAGTGAAGTTTTTGCCTTACCTTCCACTGCCATAAATCTTTTGTTTTCCTTTCTTAATTGTGTCATACTCAGCTCTGTTCTCTTCAGAACTCATCTCCTCCAAGCTGTCCTCTTCCAAGCTGTCATCCTCCAGGATGTCACCAGGATCATGCCCTTCCAGCTCCTGATTGTCCAGGATCCTCTGCTCGAGTCTCAGCTGGTACTGCCTCTCCTTTTCCAGGCTCTTGGAGTCGGATTCCTGGGAATCCTCCAGACTGGAGGCAGAGCTCCTTTCCATTTCCCAGCTCGCAGGTTGGAAAACGGGTGGCACCAGGATTTTTGGAGGGACATGGATGTTATTCATGGTGTGAGTGTGTGGGGAAGAGACAGAAATGTAATTCATGTTTGGAGAGTTCATCCTGTGTTTTGCACTGATGGTTCACACCAGCCCTGTATTTGGAGAACACATAAACATAAAATACTGTAATAATATTTCAAAGCTGCATTTTGGGTGCTACCATTGGCTTAGGCTCAGAATTTGACCTTCTATTGTGCAAATATCTCTCTGTTCTCATCTGTTCCACTGATCTTCCTTTAAGCAAGAATGTCAAAGTCTCTACATATCAAATACAGGATTTATTGTTATGAAACCTCCACTATTTGTGGTAATAAATAATGCAAAACCAGCTTGTGACAAAGAAAATTAAGCTGAGACAAAGCATTTCTGTTATCTGTTAACTTTTGGGAATTGAGATGAATTTTGTTTGTTCTCTTCATGCAACTTTATACCCTACAGAGACATAAAATCAGCAAGAAGGTGTGACAGGGAGCACAGTGAGAACTGGAGCTCTTTCTAAATTAGGATGAGAGTTTCTTTACACTCAGTTGAAGTGTTCAGAAGTTGTTTGCGCTGCCAGACGTTCCCGAGTTGCAGCGGGAGGGAGGAAAAGGAGATTTCTGTGCTGAAATGCGCATCAGTCACAGCACACCCCGGGAGCAGTGCGGTGAGCGGTGCACAGGCAGTGCCACTTTAGGACCTGGGTTAAATAATTTGGGATATTTCAGCCCTGCTGGTCACACCCGAGTTCACCCTGCGGGCAGCCCTGACCCCCGGACTGTCCCCTGTGTCCCCTGTGTCCCCTGCTCCCATCAGTGACCACTGCAGCCCCGGGAGCAGGGCCTGCGATGGGCTGGGAAGGTGGAATCTCCTGGCCTGGAGCAGGAGCTCAGCCCCCAGAGGAAAGTCACTGTGTCCCCCGAGGCCTCCCCTGTCCCGTGTCCCTCTCACCGCTGTTCCCGTGTCCCTGTCCCGTGTCCCTGTCCCTCTCACCGCTGTTCCCGGCCCATTCCCGGCCGGGCCCCGCTCCCGTTGCCACGGCAACCTCTGCCGACGCCGGCCGCACCCACCAGGCGCGGGCCCGTGGGGGGAGCTCGGTTCCCCCCCTCCCGCGGGCTCAATGGTAGCGCCCAAGCGGCCGCTTTCCACTGAAAAATGGAATTATTTCCATTGAAATGTGGAGTTGTCTCCATCGGAAAAAGGAATACGCAGGGGCTTTTATCTCATTCTCTATTAAAACTCCATTTTTCATCACGTTTTCGCGCCTCCAGTGAGAAATAATAGTACCGAATGAGTTTTACTTGATGAGATTCGTAGTGTCCGGTTCTGGGCTTCTCGGTGCAGGAAAGACAGGGAGGAACTGGAGGGGAAGAACTTCCTCCCATGGAGGTGGAACAGCTGCCCAGGGAGGTTCTGGATTCTCCAGAGCTCTCTGGAGCCACCCCAGCCCCACCTGGATGTGTCCCTGTCACTGCTCCAGGTGAGCCTGCCTGGCCAGGGGGGTTGTTCTGGGTGGTCTCCGGAGCTCCCCTCCCACCCCAACTATTCTGTGAGTCTGCAAATGACAAAAATCCTTGTAATTCACATTTCCTTTATTTTTTAGGGATTCGCTTTCACCCTTCTGGAGCAGGAAGTGTTCCTGTGAAGTCCTGGAGAACTCCCAGCTCTCCTGCTGCCCTCATTCCAGGATTTGGGCAGTCCCATGTGGAACATCCCCTTCACGTCTGAAGGCTTCACAGAATCATCAAAACATAGAATAATTTGGGTTGGATTTCTGTTTTGGGTTTCTTTTGTTTTTTTTTTTTAATCCTTTGGACATCAGGCTGCTTCCCAGCTTGGTTAAATCCAGCTGGAAATCCAGGTTTGGGGTCACAGGGAGAAAATAAAAGTCACAGTTGGTTTGTAGCACCTGGGATTCCCTTCTCAGCCCCGTCGTCACGGAGGAGGTGACAAAATCAATCAGAAATATCTTCACTGGGGCCTGGATGTCTTCACAGGACTCTGATTGCTGCTGGGGTTGATGAGCTGTTTGTGGCAGTGGTTCATGAAACCCCTGAGGGTTCCAGGAGCACCAGTCCCATCTCCCTGTCCTGCTGGGTGACAAGAGCACCTCCAGGTGGCTTTGGGATGGAGCTCTTTGTCCCTTCTGCTCCTTGAAATCAAGATCCCTGAAAACTTGAATACAAATATCAGGAAACGGCAGTTTCCACAGTTACACATCTGTCTCCCTTCCACACTTAAACATTTCCTCACTTATTGCTGTGTTTTCATTGCCTGGATTCTTCTCTGGGTTTTCCAGATTCTTCTCTGGGGTTTCTAGATTCTTCTCTGGGGTTTCCACGTGTCCTTCTGTTACATATTGCATGTTGGATTTGGGATTTACACCTAAAACACAACAATTATTTATTAGGAATTATTAATGTCTTCTCTGGCCGCAGTCAGTAGCAATTGAATAAAACAAGAATTATTTATGTTAATTAAAGCTTTTTACCTGGTCCATTCTCCTCATGGCTTGGGCTGTCTTCGTTAGATCTGGATTTGTAACTCTCCAGTGTCTGCTCTGAAACATCATTTTCTGTGGAAAAAACAAATTTTATTAGGAGAACGAGATTGTTTTCCGCATTGCTCTTTCTCACCCTCTGCCTTAAGCATAAAAATCCTGAGAGAAGAGTTATTAAATATTATTAATTATTATTAAATACTATAAATAGGGTTATTAAAATAGCCTGACCACCTCAGGGATGGGCTCAAGGCCAGTCCTCACCTCTCTTCCACACCCCGTGGGCTTTCTTCAGCTTCGCCATGAAAAGCAGGACAATGATGAGCAGCACGAAAATCAGAGCAGCCACCAGGATGGGCAGCAGGAGATTCTTCTCCTTCTTGACGATGCTTTTGGATTCAGGATTTTGCTCTGTAACAGAGGTTTGTGTTGGTAAATGTCCTGTGGGTCTCTGGTAATTGAGAATGATTTCACTTGGATCAGTGTGGTGGGAGAGCAGAATTCTCCCAAGGAATTGTGAAAAATTCACCTTAATCACAAATTCATTAAGTTTTGGACTTAATTTTAGGATGTGAGGTCAAGTTATTTTATGGCATGAAGAAGAAAAACTGGACTCGGTGGCTTTGGCACAGCAAACAGTGAAATTTAGCTTCCATTTTTTTTGGATGATACAAATGGTTGTGTTTCTGTGGCATCCCCCAGGAGCAGAGGATTAATTAATCCTGTCAGAGGATTTGAAGGGGGTTTGTGCTCAGAGAGAATCAGAAAGGTTTGTAAACTCCTTCAAGTGTTCCTACCGAGGGTGAGGGTGGAAATCACTGTTATTTTTTCACGTGGTGGTGGCACCTCTGTCCTGGGAGGCTCCTCCTCGGTGCCATTTCCACTGGCTGCTGTTTCAGTCCCTGGAGGAAGGGAAAGGAGAACAAAATTTCTCTGAGGGGATGGTTAAGAAATTCTCATTTCCCCAGCAGCTTCAGGGCACCGGGTACTGCCCCTGAGATGAGGTCTGCGCTCACTTCCCTAACTCTGTGTTTAATTTTATTCTTTTTATTTTATTATTTAAAATACTTTGCATTTTATAATTTAAAAGACTTTGTATTTTATTTTACTCACTATTTAATTTTATTTATATTTATTATATTTATTAACACATTGCTAGAGAAACAATTTACAGGCAAATCAAAACCAAGCTGAGCTTGGTCGTTTTGGAACTTTCCCTGTCCATTATTTTACTCCTCTTGCCTGAAAAACCAGCAAGGAGCCCAAATCCTTCTACTTACAGCAGATATTTTGGTATTCATGGCCTTGACTCCTCCTTTCCTGACAAGCCCTGTCCTTTGCCACCACCCCCAGTGTGTGATGAGGCAATTTCTTACCATTAAGCCCCCCAGAACTCGATGAACCTCCCAATTCTTCTGCTGCTGTTGTTTCTTCAGGCCCTGTGCAGACAGAGAGGTGAGCTCTGCTTTCAGACAATACGTCCTTTTGTATAATTACATATAAATATATCTAATCATTAACTTTGATTTGCAGTGCTGAAATGATGGTGTGTGCTGTGTGTACCAAAACTTTGCATTAATAAGAGATTTTCCTTTCCTTTTCACACCCAGTAAAAGCCACAGAATTCCAGCTTGGTTTGGGTTGGAAGGGACCTGAAAGCCCCTCTGGTTCCATCCCCTCTTAAGGAATTAAGGCTCTCTTTCCACGGATATTGTCCTGACACGTGTCAGGGTTTATCAGCCTGTATTTATCAGTTTTGAGCTGTTTGCAATTACTGATACATCACTTTTAAACCAACAGAAACGAAGAGTCCGGGCGTTCCTAAAGCAGCAGTTGATTTGTCACTGCAGGGCCTGGCGTGCTAAGCAGGCGCAAAATTCTTGGTGGGGTTTTGGGCGATTTATTTGGGCTGTGGAGCTTTTGATTGTGCTGGGAAAAAAATTCCCGAGTTCTGTGCAAGCACGGATGAAGAGTTGTTGCGCAGTGCCATCTAGTGCAGCCCATCCACAGCATCCCAGCCTGCTCCAAATCCAAGGAGAGGGATTTGGGCTGCTTGCACGGCTGGGAAACGCAGGGGAAAAAAAAGGGAATAAGCAGGAAATGCTGTGCTCTGTGTCCCAAACTCCTCTGTGAGATACCTGTAATTTCAGGTTTGATAAATTCAGGTGCCTGAGACCAAACTCACCCTTAGATGTGAAACCTGTGAGGTTTGGCTGAGCTGGTGTTGAGCTGGGAACTGCTGGATCTTTTGGGGATGCAGAAAAGCTGGAATCTTCTGAATTCTCTGGGGATGCAGAGGGGCTGGAAACTTCTGGATTCTCTGGGGATGCAGAAGAGCTGGAATCTTCTGGATTCTCTGGGGATGCAGAAGGGCTGGTCCCTGCTGGATTCTCTGGAGAACTGGAACCTGCTGGATTTTCTGAAGGGCTGGGAAATTCTGCATCCTCTGGAAGTCTGGTTGGTTGTTTGCAGCCTAAAGAAACCAACCCCAAAAAATGACAAAAATCAGAAGAGGCTTTGCCACCAAAAAGATCCTTGAAAATCTACCCTGCCCTGCTCCATGCTCTGGATTGTTTGGGTTTTCTGTCTGATCAAGGCTTTCCCTTTCAGCCCCATCCTCCCACCCTCAGCTTTCCTGTCCTCAGGATATATTTTCTGCTCTGAAATGGGGAACAAAATGAAACACTTTGCTGTGGGGAGCTTGGAGCAGGTGCTGCAGCTCAGATCTGCCACCAAGGAAGAACTCCAAACCCTTTTTGCCCCAGGTTTCTCATTTAAGAGCAGATCCCAGACGCAGGGACTCTGTGTTTATCTGCAGTACCCGTGCTGGGGAGGTCCTGGCAGTGGAAAGTTGCCATCAGCCTCTGTGCCCTGAGTGCAGGGTGCTGGATGATGCAGCTGGCTGTCGCTTTGGGGCTGCAGCTGAGCATCCTCAGGGTGCTGCTTGTGCTCCATTTCTTCCCATCAGCTCCCAGCTGGTGCCTGGTGTCACCTGCACGCCCGGTGGGAGAAAAAAGGTGAGGGCTTCTAGTGCAGAGCAATGAATAAAAGCATTTTTATCAGCCTGAAATGCTGTTCTCCATCGCTCCCACAGCGCAGGTTTGACCCTTCCCCTTTTCCAGCTGCTGGAAGTCAAACACGAGGATTCCTTGCCTAAGGGATTAGGGGGAGTTTGGTGTGATTCCCAGCCCTCCAGGTAATACTGATGACACAGAAAAATCAAGTTGTATTTGATGTGACCAGAGATGTGTTTGAACAGCCCTGCTGGAGCGGGAGGTGTTTCAGATGTTTACCTGAAGGCACAAATATTTCTGTTTATAGTGCAGAGGTTCTGATGCTCCCCCTTGCTCTGGTACCTTTAAATGAAAGAAATCCCATTTCCAAATGAACCTTTGCAGATCAGCATTTCTCAACCCTCTTTTCCATCCCCAGCAGGGCCAGGTAAGAGCTCCAAAAGGATTTCAGAGTGGTTTTGCTGGGAAGGAAATCATCTTTGTCAGCACCAGCTCAGTAATTACTGCTGGTTTGCCCCTGCTGAGCCCTGGTGCAACTGAGGTGTTGCCAGTAATTAAGATTTATTAACTATTTTCTGATTAGTGTAAATATTTGCAGGAAGTGATTAAAGCTGGGAATGGAAGGGGGAGGAAGGAGAGTTCCTCCAAGCCTTCAACCACTGGAGAAAAACACATGCAGAAATGTGAGAAATAGTGGATTAGGGCAATGATTCTTTATCTTTTAATTAAATTTGTGTCTCCCACCTCTTCACCAACCCAGCAGACACAGCTCAGGCCCTGGGGGCTTTCCTGGGAGGTGACAGCTCAGGTATTTCCTCTGCTCCAAAGGCAAGGAGGAGACCAAGATGAGGAGAGGTTTTTGTTAAAATATTGGAGAAATGCTGGTTTAAAGGAGGTGTTTAGTGTCTGAACTCTGCGTTGTGATGTCACAGATAATTCACTTTATCAGGGTGCTTTTGGGGAACCTCCTGGTTTTAGAAAAAACACTGAGAGAAACAGAGATAAAAAATCAGGGGGGACATACTGAGGATTTTATCACTTCCCAGCTGGTGTTCCCCAGGCCCTCACACACAGCCCAGCTCTTCCCAAACACAGGCAGGATTTAAAAACCTTCTTTTCCACCACCCATGCACTGCTCTAGAGCACCTTTTTTCCATTAATACCCGTGTATCCGCCAACCTGATTTATTTTTATTATTAACACTAATTTCTCTCTATATTCAGGCCAGAAAACTCAATTCTCTGCTGTTTTCCAGAGCTCTTATTTAAAAATAAATCACCTTGGGGAAGGGGAGGTTACAGGTTCAGCTTTAAATACGTTGCTTGGTGATGCAAAACACAAGTAAGAGCTTGTTGATGTGTGAAAGAAAAGACATTTGCATCTGTGAGTGTTTTTCTCACATTTTGATACAAATGTGCACTGGGGCTGATAGGCAGTGAATTTTAGAATAATGCTATTTCTAGCACTGTTAGAATGGCAGTTATTTGTAGCAGGCAGGTTAAAGGAGAAGAAAAAGCTGCTGGGGCTTTGCAAATCGAGGCTCCAGGGTTTTATCCCAGTGGAATTCGGTGCTGAGGTTCCAGGGGTTTGGGTTCATTTTATCCCAGTGGAATTCAGTGCTGAAATTCCAGAATTTTGGGTTTATTTTATCCCACTGGAGTTTCAGTGCTGAGGTCCCCAGTGGAATTCAGTGCTGAGGTTCCAGGGGTTTTGGCTCATTTTATCCCTGTGGAATTCAGTACTGAGATCCCAGGATTTTGGCTTTATTTTACCCCTCTGGAATTCTGTGCTGACTGCTCCCCAGACCTGCACCAAGTTGTAGGGATGAGTGGCAGACCCAGCTGATATTTCACCCTCCAGTGTCTTCAAACCACCCCAAAACTGCCAAAAAACCAAATTTTAGTGCTCAATCCCCAGTCTTTGAGCTCTTACCTGGGAGCTCTATCCCGTTGTCCAACAGCCAGGAAATCTGGGGCTGGGGTTTGCTGCCCTGGCTGTAGCAGGAGAGTTTGATGCCTCTTCCTTCGTCCTGGGATATTTCCAGCACTGGAGGGGAAGGAGCAGCTGCAGCAGGAAGATTTGGGATCAGTTTAGGGGAATTTTCTAATAGTATCTAATAATAATATAATAATATAATAAAATAATAATATAATAAATGTATATAATTAGAATTGTATATAATATATTATATAATAATATATAAATTAATTATATATTATAAATAATTATAATTATAACTATAATTATATAATATTAATATAATATATAATTATTATATAATTATAATTCAATATAACATATTATACATATTATATTATATATTATATCTATAATATATTAATATATTATATATAATAATATAATATAGTGTAATAATTATAATATATTATAATTTTAGTATTAATATTAATACAATATATTATATAATAATATGATATTATATGATAATGATGATAATGATGATAATGATAATGATAATGATAATAATTTCTAATAATATCTAATAATGTCCATCGTTTTTATGGGCATTATTGGAGGGGACTGAGCTAAAAGCAGAATGATCTGTTGAGCACCTTGGGAAAATGCAGGTGTGGATTTGAGGAGCTGCCTCTGTTCTGCTCCTCTGGAAAAAAAAAAAACCAAACAAAGAGATGAGGGAACTTACCCAAAATCTCAACATTGTGGCTGTTGCTTTGGAAGTACCTGCTGTAGTAGAAGCAGCTGTAAATTCCCTCGTCCTGCACTGTCACGTTGGACAGCTGGATGGATAATTCATCCTTGGAATAACGGAGGAGTTTGTACCTCTGGTCTCTTAAAACTGCGAGGAAAAGAAAAGCCAGCACACCACAGGGGTTGGTACAGAAGTCAAAGCATGAGGAGAGTTTTTATTTTATGGCATTTTAAAATTTTAAGTTTTTAATGAAAGCATCTCCTAGAGCACCTCTACTCTCTCTCTCTCTTCATTTTCTAATCTTTAATTTTTTCCTCTTGCTGCAATAATTTACAGGAGCCCTCAGGGTCAGCCCAACAATGAACTTTTCCCACAGCTGCAGCACAGAAAATTCAACTTTCTGCCCTGGAGCTGATGCCTCAGGATTTCAGCTTTTCTGTTTCTCACACATTTGTAATCCTGCCATTCCTCAGTGTGGAACTCCAAACTCCACACACACTGGGAGCTGCTGCTTCCCCACTTTGGGCAGACACAACAATTCCTCTCCAGGCCTGGCAATCAAGGACACCTCACTGCCTCAGGCCCCAGAGATGGAAACAAAAGGGAGCTGGGGGCAGCAAACTTGGGGGAAATTCCTTCATTCCCTGCAGCTGGAATTGGGAGATGAACACCCAGAGTGCAAATGGACCAAACTTAGAAAAGTGTCAAACCATTTTTGGGTGAGTTTTGTCTGCCCTAAATGCACCTGAAGGCCCTTCAATAAATATAAATAAACTGCTTTTTATCCTCTTAATTTTATCTGGCCTCTGTTTTTAGGTTTTTAGCCCCAAAAGGGCTCAGTTTCTGGTGACCACAAAGTGCCAGAAGGATCTGAAGGATCCTCTGGACCGAGTAGGACCCAGCCACGGCCCCCCTGTGCCGGCACTTTGGGACTTTTGGGACAGCTGGGTGTCCCCAGCGCTGGTGGGAAGTGCCACCAAGCTGGGGTTTCACACTTACCCCTCTGGGTGTTGAGGAAAATGGTGAAACCGTGAGGGTTTAACCACTGCAGGGTAGAGTTGTTGTTGTTGTTGCTGGGGGTGCTGAAGGTGCAGTGAAGATTTAGGTTTTCTCCTTCCTTCAGAGTCACGGAGTCACCGGCAGCCCCTGGAAACCCCCCTGCCACGCAGCAGGGGGAAAAACAAGTTGGAAATTGTGACATGGAGCAAAGCACTCATGTTTTGCACAGGGTGAAGTGTTAATTTTCCTTTTTTTTCAATGTTTTTTTTTAATATTTCTACATCGCCAGTATGGTTGTAGGGGTATAAATAAATTAGTGACACTGGACACTGGCACTGTGTGACAAAGGTTTGGGATCTTCACCTGCCAGCACAGCCAGATTTAATTATTAAACCAGTTTTAGTTATTAGCCAAGAAAGAATTTCATTATTAGCCAATAAAGAACTGAAGCAGATCCATTTTATACACTCTCTCCCTGCACTTAAACACAAACATACAATTTTCACTTATTTCATTATTGTAATTAAATAATACTTAAGGTCCCTTCCAATAAAACCATTCTCAAATTTTATGTCCCATTATGGAGCTGTTAAACCTGATTTGCTCAGTGTGTGAATAAGCAGTGAATGATTTTCCAACACTTCTAAAAAATGAGGCTTTTTTATTCAGAAATTAAATGTATTTGGGAAAAAAAAAACCCAAACCTGGCCTGGCACAGGTTACTAAAATGAAATTTCGCTCTCTCTTCTCCCAGCCCATTTCACAGGCAGGCAGTAAAATGTATTTTTTCTCTCCAGACATTCTAAGGCAGATAAAACACTTTGTGAAAATATTTGATGACCTGGAATGAATTGCTTTCTCCAGACAAAAACCATGCCCTGGAGAATACTAAGATTGGTGCCTGGCTTGAAGTTAAGTAAATAGGCAGCAGAAGAGTTTTGTTTTTATTCCTGTTTTGTGTGTTTTGATTTGATTTTCCAGGTAGCTGTTGGCTGCCAGTTCTCACTGCATTTTGGGGAAATGAATCTTTCTGGGCTTCGGGGAAGATTTTCACTTTCTTAAAATGTTTAAATCACTCAGAAATGAAGTTTTGTTTTTTGTCGGGAATTTTCCTGGAGCTGATTTTTGTCCCTCCAGAGTTGGCCCTGTAAGACAGCAGCTTGCCCTGGGGATTGTGGCTGTGCCTGTCCTTGAGAGGAGCTGTGGCAGGAGGTGAGAGCTGTTTAGAGGCAGCTGGGGGATGTCTGTGGTTTTGCACAGGCCCCTGGGGTATTTCTGTCCCCTGATGGTTTCCTGTCACCAGCAGCAGCAGCGTGGGGTCTGGCAGATCACACCTTTAGGGGTGACAGCGGCGAGAAGAGGTGAGGGTGTCACAAGCTTTTCCAAACCTGGGCAGAAATGTAATTTCCATGGGGGACCACTGGAAAATGGGTTTTATTCAGAGCATGACTCACAGGGCAGCTCTTCCCTGCACGGGGGCTCTGCTCTGCAGCCACTGAGGTCACTAAATGTGGGACACGTCCCCATGGCAGCTCCAGGGATGTTGTACCATGTGGATCCCACCTGGAAAAACCTCTCTGCCATCTACCAAGTGATAGATCCGCCTTCTTGGCAAGAAAGGGCAGCAATTTTGTGCTGGAAATCGCAGGATGCTCCGAGCAGAGGGGTTCTACTCTGGTTGCCATTCTTGGAGACCCCAGGAAGTGTTTGAGAGCTCCTTGATCTGAGACTTGAACAGAGAGCATTGGTGCAGAGTTTTCTGTGAGGCTCTAACCCACAATCACCTGTTTAATGAGTTAGTTTTGTTGCAGTTTTCTGTGAGGCTCTAACCCACAATCACCCTGTTTAATGAGTTAGTTTTGGTGCAGTTTTCTGTGAGCCTGTAGCCCGCAGCCACCCCGTTTTATAATGAGTTGTTTTCTGTCCTGGCTGCTGACCTGTGAGCGGAGCTGAATTAATTCTGGAAGTTCAGGCAGCAGCTACAAATTCCTCCTGCAGGAGCCTGGCAAAACTGGGGAGAAGGGTTGTACTGAGAATTAGCAAATTGTCAAGAACAGCCCTGCAGTGGCTCCAGCGTCTGTCGAGGAGGGAGAGGGAATATTGCTCCAGTGCCAGGACAGTGCATCCATTTCTCCTGCAAAGGTCAGGAGTGAAGCCTGCAGGGTTCCTGGCCATGGATTACTGCCTTGCTCCTTCCTTCCTTGGATCTTCTTTTAGATCCTTTGAGATCCTCTGACTGTTTGATGCAGTCAAATATGAACCTGCCACACTCTCCTGTGTCTGAGGAGATCTGAATACACTGCCTCCTCCAGCTGGAGCGAGGAGATTGAGCATCTAAAGCACTTCTCTTTTTCAAAGTACTTTGCAAGTTCTCCCTAAATTGCTCTGACTCCTGTCAGCCTCTCCTCACACAGAGCACGAACAAATGAACACTCAGATTTCTGATCCAGGCAAAGCAAGCAGTGATCTTTCCAAGGCTGGAAAGCCATCTGTCCAAATTGAAGGCAGAATCTTTTGATACCCCAATGCTGCTGGTAGACTTGACCTTACAGCTCCTGGGTTTAGGAGTCAGTGAGCTTTGGGAACGGGGTGATGATTTTGTTTCATCACCCACACAGCCCTGGGAGCAGCGTTTTCCCAGCTGGAAAGGAGAGCTGGAATGAGAGCATCCCCAAGCTTACCTTGCAGCAGGAGCACGGTGAGCAGCACCCGGGCCACGGTCATGCTGTGCTGAGCTGGGCTTGCCTTCCTCCCTCTGAGGGGCTGCTGTGCTCCTTTTGAACACATTCACCGTGACTTCCCTCCCCTCCTCTGCCCCACCTCGTGTTTCCCCTGCTCTGGGACATCCGTGACCTCACGGCTCCCTCCGAAGGAACCGGTGGGCGACAGCAGCGGGGGATTTCGGCTTTCAGCGCTGCAGCTCCGGGAGGGATGCTCGGGAGGGATGCTCGGGAGGGAGGCTCCGGAGGGATGCTCGGGAGGGATGCTCGGGAGGGAGGCTCCGGAGGGATGCTCGGGAGGGATGCTCGGGAGGGAGGCTCCGGAGGGATGCTCGGGAGGGATGCTCGGGAGGGAGGCTCCGGAGGGATGCTCGGGAGGGATGCTCGGGAGGGAGGCTCCGGAGGGATGCTCGGGAGGGATGCTCGGGAGGGAGGCTCCGGAGGGATGCTCGGGAGGGATGCTCGGGAGGGAGGCTCCGGAGGGATGCTCGGGAGGGATGCTCGGGAGGGAGGCTCCGGAGGGATGCTCGGGAGGGATGCTCGGGAGGGAGGCTCCGGAGGGATGCTCGGGAGGGATGCTCGGGAGGGAGGCTCCGGAGGGATGCTCGGGAGGGATGCTCGGGAGGGAGGCTCCGGAGGGATGCTCGGGAGGGATGCTCGGGAGGGAGGCTCCGGAGGGATGCTCGGGAGGGATGCTCGGGAGGGAGGCTCCGGAGGGATGCTCGGGAGGGATGCTCGGGAGGGAGGCTCCGGAGGGATGCTCGGGAGGGATGCTCGGGAGGGAGGCTCCGGAGGGATGCTCGGGAGGGATGCTCGGGAGGGAGGCTCCGGAGGGATGCTCGGGAGGGATGCTCGGGAGGGAGGCTCCGGAGGGATGCTCGGGAGGGATGCTCGGGAGGGAGGCTCCGGAGGGATGCTCGGGAGGGATGCTCGGGAGGGAGGCTCCGGAGGGATGCTCGGGAGGGATGCTCGGGAGGGAGGCTCCGGAGGGATGCTCGGGAGGGATGCTCGGGAGGGAGGCTCCGGAGGGATGCTCGGGAGGGATGCTCGGGAGGGATGCTCGGGAGGGATGCTCCGGGAGGGAGAAGCTCAAAGCTCACAGAAATGCGGGTCTGGGCTCTGTGATGCCGCCTGGTTCCATCCCGAAGGTCAGGAGGCACCCGGGAAGGCGGCACTTGTTTGGTGGAGGTGGCAAGGCTGCTGGAAAACCCATTTTAAACCCCTGGATTGGCACAATGTCACTTTGTGCCGCTGCGCTGTTGCCCCAGGAGGATTTTGGGACATCAGCAGCCCCCAGGGGACACAATTCAGGTTTCCCCTGTCCCCTTGCAGATCTGGATTATTCCAGCTTTGTGCCCCCCCAGGTGTGTGATAACCACTGACCTCACATTTATCCACGTCTATCTTATGATTTCTGATTTCCAAATAGGATTTTTGGCAGATCCTCTTCTGGCCCTCCTTTGCAACTGCTCAAAATTTGGTGTGGACAGCAATTACTGTCGAAATAAACTGAATTTAATGGGATAATTATGGTTTAAAACCTGTGTGTGCTCAAGTGAAGTGGATAAATTGATTATTTATAAACACATTGTGTGTTTAATTCCTGATTTATTAGGATCTGTTTCCATGAAACTTTCAGGTGCAGGGAATTGCATCGCTCAGTGGATATTTGGTTGATGAAAGCTGTGGCTTTTGTGTTCATCATCATTAATCAATTTTACTGGAAAACAGAGCTGCAGGTCATGAATTTAAAGCAGCTGGGTTGAAAAATAAAACTCTTGCTGGATTAAAAAATCCAGGTTAAGAAAGATGTATAGGAAAAGTAAGTTTGGTTTGAAAGTTGTGCCTTCAGTTCCACACATCCAAACCTGAGAGTGAAATAACTCCGGGGAAAATCTGATTCCAGAGGGAAAAGCCCATCCCTGAGCATGGAAAACAGGACTCCAGAGATTTTTGTGCCATCTGCTGTCAAGTGAATGAATTTCAGCCTCAGAAAAAGAGAAATGCAGCTCAGAATTCCACCACACTCCAGAGGAAATCTGGAATAGGAAGGGTGCTTGGCATCTTTATTAAATCACCTACGAGATATTTTTGTCTGACTTCTGAGAATTCCATTTAATGTGAGAAGCAAATTAAAATGCAGTGGTTGTTTTAACAGTTGTTAGCACTCAAAACTGGGATTAAAAACAACCACCCACCCCCCTGCCTGCCCCACTCCCAAAATAAAAAAATACAGATGTCACGGGTAATTACAGCTATTTTTGGCAATACAATTATTGGGTTTTTTTAAACAGCAAACATTTTTTTTTTCTTCTCAAATAAATACAATCTGCTCACACTAAATAAAAAACAAAAACCATTATAAACAGAATGATACAACAGGTTGAAAATGAAACAACAACAACAACAACAAAAAAAGGAGCTGTTGAAAACATCAAATCTGAAGAGATGTCATGGAGAGAAAGAAAATACATTTCATACGTTCAGAAAATACATTTTAATGGGACACAATAAAGGAACTGGCTGAGTATTTTCTGTTGTGGGTCATGAACATTCCCTGGGGAGCAAATTTGAGGAAGTGAGGAGCAGCAAGAAGTGATTTAGCAGCCAATCCCAGCCACCCTTAATGACATTTCTTTTGTTCATTTATCACCATCCCAAGCACTCCTATTTGTGACTTCAAAATCGTTTCCTTTGTGCTTCTTTTTAAAGAAACAAACCCAAACCACAAACCCAAGCCATTATTTAGGGATAAAAATGACGAATCTTATTAAATTCACTAGAATTTAATAGCAGAAGGAGTCTCCTGGCCTCAGCCAGCTTCTGGCTGAAACTGCTCAGTCCGAGTGAAAAGGGAAATACCAATTTTTTACTGAAGTTATCACGGTCTGGATCCTCATTTTGCATAAAAAGGCAAAGCTCTGTTGATTTGAGTGTAATGCTAATTTAATTCTTGTCTTTTTCTAAGCCATACATTGCGAATGATGAAAATAAACAATTTATTCTTGGCAGGTTTGCAGCTTTTTTCCTTAATTGTGGAGAGAAGGAAAAACCTGGGAAGAGCTGTTAGAATAAAACTTGGGGTCTTCCACAGCTCACAGTGAAGGAAAAGATTTTGGAGAGATCAGGTTTAATGTTCTGGGACAAAACACTGGAGAGACATTAAATCCACAGGAATGAGCAGCAGTGGGGTGAAATCCTTTTGTTTTCTTAACCTCTCAATTACAAATTTAAATGGAACAACTTTTTTCTCTTTCCTTCCCCCCCAAAAAGCCTTTTCAACACGAGACTGCTCAACACAAAACCCCCAAGAAAACTGAAAATTCTGAAGAAAATAAGATTTTTCTCCCTGTGATTCTTGACACTGAATTCGAGACAATACTACAATTGTCAAAATATTTCCCAAACATCCAAAAATATATATATATATATATTTAAAGAAGAGTATTTTAATATCTACCTCCTCAACCAGAACATTTTTTTCTCTATTACTATATCAAAGAGCAGCTAACACCACTCAAATTGTGCACTCAGCTTTTGCCCCCTCTCTGTTTCATGTTTAATGTGTTTAACTCCAGCAGGATCTGAGCAGCCTCCACTCTTTCTACAGGCAACAAATATTAGACTATAACAATACTTCTTGCCTCAATTTGCACCTTGCTGGCATGAAACAAAAAATCTGGAGAATTCACACGCCTCAGCAACCAAAATTTTTTTGTGTGTGTGTTTGATTGTCAAATATTTAATTTAATTCTTTTTTTTTTTTAATTTTTTTTTTCATGGAGGAAAACAAGCCAGAAACGCTCTTCAGAATGTCTGTACACAGCCAAAACATAGTTTAAATGGCAATTAAAAATTAATCTGACAGTGATAAAACCACACAGGAGCAGGTTTTTTGGTGTTTTTTTTTTTTTCCCCTGCCCTGTCCTAAATTTTCTCCCTGACTTTTCAGTTCCATCCCTGCTCTAATAAAGCACCTACGAGTGGCCTAAGGTGTGTTACACAGTCCTAAAGGTAGAAATAATGGAATATTCCTATGGATTGTGGGAATATCTGGGATTCTGTGAATACAGACAGGATGTGCTCTGCTCTCCCTGGAGAGCTCAGAACTGAGCTCAGCCCCTTTGGATTTGCCCCATCCCAATTGTTTGGCCTCTTTTGGGAAGAGGGAATTGCAGTTTCTCACTCCTTGGTTGTTGTGGCAGCACCAGCCCTGCCCAAGGGGAAAATCCACCAAAACACCAGCCAAAAGTTGATTTTTCTATGGTTAATAAACATCAAATCTGGTCAGGGCTGACTTCTGTGCCTCTCACCCATTTCAAATGAGGGCGTTGAGCAGAGCTGGGCAAGGATTTCAGAGATCAGAAATGAAATCCTGCCCCACCTCAGCGTGCCCTGGTTGATGCTTTTTGTTTTAGTGTTTGGTGCTTTGCATTTGTTGCCCAGAGCAGCTGTGGCTGCCCCATCCCTGGAAATGTCCAGCCTGCTCTGTCCCATGGAACTGGATGAGCTTTCATGTCTTTTCCAAACCCAAACCATTCTGGGATGGTTCTGTTTGTGGGAACACTCAGACTTGCGCCCAAACCAAGAAAGGAGTGTGCCTAAATCTCTTCCATCCCATTTAAACCCAGTTTTAAGTAGCTGCTGACAGCAAGCCTGCACTGCTGAAGTGCCTGCAGCTACTTTTTGACCCAAGGCTGATAATTTTAGGTAATTCTGATCCTAAAAATCCCTGCTCTGACGCCACTTCTTGTTATCAATACCCACTGTGGTGTATTTTGGGGTGCAGCTGCTTTGAGCATCCTGCAGGCTCTGGCACCAAGAGGATCCCCCTCGTGATCCCAAACATCCTGATAGAGATGGGAACCCTCCTCTCCCACTTTCCCCAGATCCCAACCCTTCCCTCCCTGGATAAACAGCATCAAATGTTGTTCCTAAATTGAAGTGTTCTGGGTTTTTTTAGACAGATGGCAGTAAGGAAGCAAAGCACTCAGAATTCCAGCTGAATTCCAGCAGCTTTTTCATCCCATCATTCCTGGATCAACCTGCTGGCTGCACAATCTCACCAGGGCTGCCAAAGGGACACAGAGCCACTCCTGGGTGAATGGCCAGCACAAAAATCCCAGTATAAAAGGGGAAACCCCTTTTCCAAAGCCTTTTGAAGGGAATTTCAACAGCACAAACCTTTTAGGCTGTGTCTGGGCACACAGGTGGATTTCAATAACCAAAGTAAGGGAATAAAAACCCAAATCTGAACTTCTTAAATCCCTCAGGTTTGGTTGGAAAAGGCTTCTTTTATCTCCACTTCAAAGAAATTCCTCTCAGCTTTTGTTGCACTGACTTTTGATGCTCAAACTTCACCTGTAACTGATGTGAAATTCGGAATTTTCCTCTGATTTGGAGATTTTCCTCAACATCAACCAATCTCCACACAATATCCAACACATTCTGGAGCGCTCCCACCTCTGTCTGCTCATTCAGAGGGGAGGAATACCCTGGTGCAGCCTGCAGAGGCAATGCTGGACTCATTTCCAGCCTTGGGGACGCGTTTTTATTTTTCTGGAAGGCTCTGAGGTTTTGGGGGCTGGGAGCAGAGCGAGCACGAGGTGCTGAACAAGCCTGCAGACACTTTGCAAAAATAGCAGTGAGAAAACAAGCCCAGCATCCTGCCTGACACAGGGCTCAGTGTTTCTACCATGGTGCAGTGAAAGTGTCACCAGAGCTCCCTTCAAGGTGGGGAAACCAACCCTCGAGGCTGTGCAAGAGCCTCAAGCTGTATTTTAATAACTTTTTCCCCCCTCAAATCAGCCCCTTTTGTTGTAAATGTTGTAAATTTTGTTTCTGCACGGCTGTGGCTGTGTGAGATGTGCTTTGAGTGAGCCACTGGACAGATGAAGAGGGTTTTTTTTTCCCGCTGCCAATAAAACACAAGGAAGAAGAGACATTCTCCAACGCTGGGAAAGGCCATGGGCTGTCCTTGCTGGGGTTTTCCCTACTCCTGCAGGAGGGTTTCTCTCCAGTTAAAGCCTCCAGTTGGTCCATGTGTGAGAGGGAGGATGGGAGGGTCTGTGAGCTGCCAAACACCAGTGTCCCCCAGTTCTTCGCAGGAGCAAAACCCCAGGTAGGGAATCTGTGAGGAGAGAGATGGGAATTAAGGCAAAAAGCAGGGACTGAGCTGGGCAATCCCAAGGGATGAATCCCTGCTCTGCTACTCCAGGATTTCACTTTTTTTTCTTTCTTTCCCTCTCCCAAATTCCACTCTTCAGAAAAATTCCATTTTTCATTTTTTTTGCCTGTGCAAAACACTGGGAAAAACCAGATTATACCCCTGGAATGTGGGTTTAAAAATGTACTTTGGAAAAAATTTTAAAAATGGAATGTAAGTTTAAACAGGGAGCAGCTCAAGACAAATGTGGTCCCAAACCAGCACAGCTTTGGGGGAAATGTGGATGTTCCTGCAGCTCAGGGGTTCCCAGATGAGCCCTGAATATCCCAGGGAGCCTCTGCAAGGCTGGCAGAGGGCAGGAAAGGAGAGGAAGTAAAAAACCCATTCTAATTTCCAGCCTTTTGATGGTTAACATCTCTTTAGATGAGAAGGGGAAGTGCTGTAGGGCTGAAGTGCTCGGCTCGCTGTGCTGAAGGGATTTGGAACTCTCTGCACAGCCCCTGGTACCCACAAAACACCAAACAATCCCTCCAAACCCATCCAAGGAGGGCACTGACCCCACAAAACACCAAAGAATGCCTGCAGACACATCTCAGGAGGGCACTGACCCCACAAAAACACCAAACAGACCCTGCAATCCCATCCAAGGTGGGCACTGACCCCACAAAACAGCAAACAATCCCTCCAAACCCAGCCCAGGAGGGCACAAAACACCAAACAATCCCTCCAAACCCATCTCAGATGGGCACTGACCCCACAAAACACCAAACAATCCCTCCAAACCCATCTCAGATGGGCACTGACCCCACAAAACACCAAACAATCCCTCCAAACCCATCCCAGGAGGGCACTGACCCCACACCCTGTCCCAGCCTCTCAAACCCTTCTCCTTCACCCTGCTGACTCCCAAAATGAGTAAAACTCAGAACAAAGCCTGCCCCAGCAAATTTGTTTTGTGTTTGCAGAGCCAGGGCTCTGCTCCTTGCTGGCATTTACCTTTCGGACCATCTGTACAAAATCCTTGGAGTTCTGAGGCGAGAGCCCTTGGAGCTGGCAGGTACAGGCCTCCAGGGAGGATGCATGAGCCACTATCAGGATGTTATTTCCTGAAATAAAATGAGAAACACAGGCTGAGAAGGGAGGAAAAGCCAGATTTAGGGGCTGGTGCCCGAGATCAAGCAGCCATTTAAAGCACTTTATCAAATAATAACACGTCCAACTGTGAATTAAGGGGGAAATGTGATTTGTTAACACGTTTAGAGCGTTTCTCAATTTTCAGGGTAATGGTTAACTCACTCCTACTTGGTTTAAAAATGCTTTCTGGAGAAAACAAGAATTCCAGCAAGATTTCAGCTGCCTTGGGAAGCAGATGCTTTTTGCCTACGCAAAAATTAATTCCTGTTACAACAAACACTTTAATTTCACTTGCTGGCTTTCCACAGTGGCAGCTTTACATTTCCAGCTCCAGGATTCTTTACAACCAATGCCCCACTGTGCTTTTGAATTTTGTGTGCAAACTATTAAAATCAAAGCTTAAAATGCAGAGACAGGTCAGTGAGATGAAATCAGTGAAAACACCAGAGTTTAGGAATTCTCAGATTGTTGTGGATGAACAATAACAGCTAAGGGTTTTTTAAAAATTTCAATATTGTGTTTGGAGAAATGGTCTAAAGTTTTTATGGGAATAGAATTTGGAGGAGGAGCGTGGACAGGGGAGGGAAAATATCCCATTTAATGCTGGGAACACACATCAAAAGGCAAATAACTCATTTATTCCCTTGGGAAACATCTGCCATTGGGTTGGGGTCCCTAAAATCATTCTGCTATTTAACTTTATGGACCTCTCCTCTGAGAGTATCTGAAATAATAATTCTGGTGCAGGACTTTCCAATGATTCTGGGAGAGAGGATGAGAGATTCAGGTCTGGGAATTCCCTGAGAGGGGAAGATTGGTCAGGAATATTGGAATTCACATCCCAGCCCCTCTCTGCAGCACTCACCTTTGCCTTTACATTCACTGATGATCTCCTTTGTGACTTGGTAGCTTCTGCTTATGTAGGTATCGTAAGACTCAGAAACCACCAACTTGCTGACAGGAATATGAGGTCTGTGAGGAGAAAACCACATCCAGTAAATTGTAAAAATAAAGAATTGTAAGTGCAAGGCCTGTGAGCAGAAAAACATGTCCAGTAACTGATAAAGGAAGATACTCTAAGAGCAAGCTGTGATTCATCTGGAAGTACCTGTTCTTAAACTCAGTCCCCAAGGAGCTCCTTGGAAACCTGAAAGACCCCAGGAAAAGGAGTACTGGAAAGAAAACCTCCATGATCAGGAGGAACTGCCAGTTGATGTGGGAAATGGGGTTTACAATAAGCGAAATTTTATTTTATATATATATTTTATATATAATTTTCAGGTCATGTTCAGCACAGCAGCCTCAAGCCTGCTCCAAGTTGATTTTGGGAACCTCAGCAGCTCTTCCAGTCAGTGCCTGAAGGTCAAAACTCAGCAGAGTTTGGTGTTAAATCTTGAAATGAGCGACCCCAGACCCTGTCAGCCCCTCTCTGTGCTACCTGTAGGTTGTATCAACGCTCAGAGTAGCTGCAGCTAAATCCACAGGGGGGATCCAGGCTGGCAGGGTGCTCCCAGACACCCACTTGGTCCACTCAAACAGGCCTGGCTCTATCCGGATTTTCAGGTTGTTCTCCTGTTGCATACCTGGAAAAGAGGGAGAGGAGGCCAGCTAGCAATGGAAGTAGCTGGGGAGGGTGAGAGAAGCTTTAATACTTCGGTTTGATTGTTAATTTATTTATTTTCTATGGGAAATTACGTATTTCATGTGTTTATTTAACGTATGACAGGGAATGTCAAGCTCTGGTGCAATTAGAAAAGAGTTCCTTATGGATTGTGTTAATAAAAAATATATTCCTATGGAAATCATAATTAGGTCCATGGTTTTTACCTGCTTGTCAGTGTTTTATGGAGAAAATGAGGAGAATTCAGCCTCTGCCCTGTGGGTTCTTACCTTTCAGGATGTTGTGAGCTGTCTGGACACACCGCAGGGACGGGGAGCTGTAGATGTAGTCTACAATGGTGTTTGTTTCTAGCAAAGCTTCACCTGCAAGAAAGTTTGGATCTTTGTGACTAAATCCAGGTAAATGGCACTGCAAGGAGCTGCTTCTCGTGGGTCTGGCCAAAAAGCAGCCAGAAAAATTGTAAAGGTCTTGGATTTCATTTCGTTTCATTTGTAAGGCGTAAATCAAATGCTTCAACACAACTCAAACCCAGGTTAATTCAATTGGCTGGGTTCTCTGCTAGCATAAATCACCATTTCATTACACAGGTGGGAGATCACTGCAAACGAGATAAGAATCAACTCCACTGTCAGGGTTGTTAATGTTCCTGCATCAGGGTTTTTAATATTCCTGCAGTGCCTGAGGGAAGCAAAGGAGAGCAAGCTCAGGCTTGCAGGGAGCGGCAGCCACGTTTTCCTCCTGTTGGGAGAGTGGCAGCAAGGAGGGGACATTGATCCTGACAGGGCTGTCACCATGGCAGGCTGACCTGGGAATGTCTTGAGAGAAGTGGGGTCATTTAGGAGAGGGACATCTACCTGCCCCCTGTGTCACAGGGAGCTGCTCACGGGCTTTGGTCATCACAGGGATTGTGATGAGGGAGGTGAGGTTTCCTTCGGAAGAGAGAAATAGCTGGGGAAGGTGAAGGGACTTGGCAAAGTTCCTTGAAAGATTTAAATCCCGTTAGTTCAGGGAATCCAATCCATTTTTTCCTGCCTTGACTTTTCCTTTCTCTGATGGGGGATGTGGGAGGAAGATAGAGGAGGTCACACGGTGCCACCAGAGCTGCAGCCGCATCCTTGGACCCTTGAATGCCAGAACATGTCCTTGGAACCTTTTAATGCCACCAGCAAAGTGTGTCCTCAGACCCTTTTAATGCCACAGAAAATGTGTCCTCAGACCCCTTGAATGCCACCAGCAAAGTGTCCTTGGACCCATTCATTGCCACCAGGAAAGTGTGTCCTCAGACCTCTTTAATTCCCCCCAAAGTGTGTCCTTGGACCCCTTTACTGCCACCAGCGAAATGTGTCCTCAAACCCTTTTAATGCCACCAGCAGTGTCCTCAGACCCCATTAAAGCCACCAGCAGTGTCCTTGGACCCTTGAATGCCACACAAAGTGTGTCCTTGGACCCCTTTAAGGCCACAAATTGTCCTTGGACCCCTTTGCTGCCGTTAACGAAGTGTGTCCTTGAAGCCCTGAATGCCACAGCAAAATGCGTCCTTGGACCTCCTCAAAGCCATCAGCAAATTGTCTTCAGAGCCCTTGAATGCCTCCAGGAAAGGGTTCCCACAGACCCCTCTAATGCCACCAGCAAAGTGTCCTTGGGGCTCTTCAAAGCCACCCAAAGTGTGTCCCTGGCCCCTGGATGCCACCAGCAGAGTGGGGTGCTGGCAGCCTCCCTCTGTCCTGTGCAGACTGCAAACCCTGCTGCCATGTGGCTGGGAGTCTGAGCATCCTCCTCCTCCTCCTGCTGCTGCTGCACAGTGATTTACTTGTGTTCCAAAAAGCCAGGATAATTTTAGCTGCCCTAGTTTGGATGTGACCAGCAAGGAGTGCTCGGAAGGATTTGAGGCTCAGGGCTGGAGCTGGTGTCTTTAAGGGGCTGGGCTCCCCTCGTCACAGCTCTCAAGATGTGCTCTTTGGCTGGCAAAGGATTTTCTGTCTGCACACAAACAGGCTCAGAAGCCAGGGATGAGGGTGGGGAGGGTGGGAGAACACTGGAAATGGTTTGGGCTGTGTTTGTGACAATGTAAATCCAGACAGGCTGATAAAAGGACACCGGTGTGGCAAACTGGATGGAAAAAGCACATTTTGCACGAGGTGACAGCCACACTGCTGCATTTCTCCCCAGCGTGGGTAATAACAAAATCTTCCCAAAGCACCCATCCTTTGAGGGCTCTGATTTCACCCCACGTCCCACATTTCTGCTTTGCCTTTTCCTCAGCTGCAGCAGCTGAAGGAGATGAGGTTTCCTGTGGAAGAGAGAAATTGCTGGGGGAGGTGAAGGGACTTGGCAAAGTTCCTTGAAAGATTTAAATCCCGTTAGTTCAGGGAATCCAATCCATTTTTTCCTGCCTTGACTTTTCCTTTCTCTGATGGGGGCTGTGGGAGGAAGATAGAGAAGCTTCCTGGGCAAGGTCTTCATGGAATGGTTTGGGTTGGAAAAAACCAAAAACCTCAAGGGCAGGGACACCTTCCAATACCCCAGGATGCTCCAAACCCTGTCCAACCTGGCCTTGGACTCTTCCATGGATGGAACCTGCACCACCCCGGCCTCCCCCCACTCACAGGGAACAAATCCTTCCCAAAACCCCACCCAAACCCCTTCTCCTTTCCCTGCTGAGCAGCACTTACCCACGAGCCTCGCCTGGGTGCAGCCCAGCACGGTGATGGGAGCGTCTTTTTCGTAATCCCTGAAACCACCACTCCTCTGAGGTAAGTTGTGAGGCATATTCAGGTTACTGCGCATGTACCTGCCTGCAGGGAGAGGTGCCAAGCTGGAATTATTCCCTCAGACAGAAGCAGGTACATCACCCCTGGTTTTCCCCTCTCCCACCACCTCGGCTGTGCTTTGCAGGTCCTGCCTAGACCTGGCTCTTGGGGCAGTTTTTTCCCATGTAAACCCATCAGGAATCTCATAAAATTAAATTAAACGCCTCTCACCAGCTCAAAAGCAGCACAGGATGTTGCTAAGGATCTGGATTTTTTTTTTTAGGACTGATTTCCCCAAAGAAAAGTCATTTCTATCCCACAGCAAACATTACACTTTTACAGGAGGCCGGAACATCAGAGCTCTTCTGCCAGAGTTTAGAAAGAAGAGAGTTGTGAAATCATCCTTTCACCACAAGGTTTTGGTGTTTTTCAATAGAACAAAGACTTTTAGGACACATTTCTGATCAGCTCTAAGGCCAACAGAGCCTAAAGTTATAATTTGTTCATTACAGTCTGAAACCTGAGCATAATACTGGGTTGAAAGCACCAATTTATGCCCCAAAACCCACTCTGAGCAGTGTTATTTTCATTTAGGACTGAGAGCCAGCAGTGCAAAATGTTTTCTTGATGGCAGAGAATGTTTTCACTGAACACTGACTACCAACATCATGGCTGCATTTTCTTTTTGGTGGTGCAACTGTGGAGTGTAATCACTCCTGCCATATTTTCCCAAATATTGGCAAATGGACTATTTCCTCCTTGGATGAATTTTTGCTGCTGGCTGCGCAAAAAGCATCATTTTATGTTAAAACCCACAGCTTCCACCAGGCAGTGGCCACTTCTCCTTCCTCCATCAAATCCTGGGATAGCCCCGGGCTCACCTTTGGCATCGAAGCACTGGGACAGCCAGTACTTCCCAAAAACCACATCCATCCTCTCGCCGTGCCTGCAGACGAACAGGCAGCGCTTCTGAGGGCCTGGCTGGCTGCTTATCCTCAGGGGCTGCAAAGGAAGGTGATGCCTTCAGTTTTATCTTTCACAGTTTCCAGGTTGTGCACTGGTCCCTAACTCTGAACTCCAAAGTGTCAGCGAGTTCTCCTCACAGCTCAGGCACACACAACAATCCTTCCCCAGCCCCACAACCAAGGGCAGCGCTGCAGCTCCAGGCCCAAAAAGCACAAGCAGCAGGGAATTGAGGAGAGCAATCTGGGAGGATGGGACTGCATCACCTGCAGCTGCAATTGCACAATTCACCCCGAGATGGAAATGGACCAGAACTGATCCAAGGGTGAAACTCCTGAGCCGGGGCCCATCTTGGGTGGAGCCACGGCCGGGCTCTTGCAGTGCCCAGGGTGATCCTTGGAAGGGCTTTTAATAAATCCCTGCTTTATTCCTTTAACTCTGGCCAGCCCCTGCTCCAGGAGCCTCCCCAGGCATCAAAGTGACAGCAGGTTTGACCTTCACCAGAGTGGAGAGACTCTGAGCAAGCCACAGGAGCCAGCACCAGCCTCCTCCTGCTTTGCCCTTGTGCAAACATTACAGGGAAGGCTGCAGGATTTATTGCTTTTATGGGTTTGGGTTTTTTCCCTTCTCTTTGGGAATTTATAATCCTGGTAAATTTATGGTGGTCTAAAGCTGCTGAAGGGGGCAGAGGCCTGGGCCCTGCTGAAGAGGCAGTTTGGGGACGAGGTTGTGTCATTCAAAAACTTTGTAACTTGTGCTGCAGGGAGTGACAAGATAAATTTTTGGGGAAAATCCATTCACTGGAAGCTGTCCCTAATGATTTCTGGCTGTGGGGTCCCTACCTGCACGTTCTGGCAGATGATGGTGAGCGGCCCAGCGTCCCCTGGCCCTTGGTCCTCCTGCTGCCTCCTCTCCAGAGCTCCATCAGCAAAGGCTTGAAAGGATGGGGAAGATGTGGTGTTCAGAATGGAGTAGGACCTGCCAAAAATAGAAAAATATTGTCTTTGGGCATGCTTTTTGCGCTCAGGCTGCTCTCAGGACCTTTCTGCGGCCTTCAGGAGGCGGTGGTAATTACTGTTGTTTCATTATTATGAAACATTATTATGTTATTTCATTATTACTGGGTTTTAGTGCTGCCCAGAGAGCACAGTGCCAGGTGATGCACACACGTGAGGAGACAAATTCCATCTCCACAGGCTGTTTCCTTAGAAACTATTTACAGAACAATTCCCAAACTTTGGTTGGGGAGGCTCTCTCCACCCTGGAATATTGTCATGGAAAATGCCAGGACCTTCCCGAGCACCACAGGATGCTCACTAACATCGCCTGGGGACCAGTCCATATCACTGACCACAGACTTGTGGTCCCAAGTTTGGGAATTAATGGCTACAGGGAGTTTTCACTCACCTTTATAGCACAAGCTGTGGCTTCAGCAGAAAGCTGGGGCCTCTCCCTGGGCAGTTTTCAGAGTTCCTGTGCCCAAAACAGCTTCTACCCCTGCCAGGGACCTGGCACACTCAGCCCTGTTGTTCCTGCATTTTTCAGTGCCCACCTGCCTGGGAATTTATTCCCCCAGTGCTTCCTGTTAAGTGCAGCCAAAGGGATTTTACAGGGCCTTGCCTAATGAGGTCCCTCTGAATAAAGCTCTTATTCCCAGACATTCAAGGACTTTGACCAAAACCCTGGGGACCCAAGTGTGACAGGCAATTACAGAAGCTGCCTGACCCTCTGCTGACTCAGTTACCTCTGCTTAGTCATTTAAAAAAAAAATAAAGAACATTATCAGGTAATGGATGTGGTCATTTACTTTGACAGAAAGAGCCAGAGCTGGCACTTTTCAGTGCCTTAAATACATCAGGAGCTGCTTCCTGAAAGCAGGAATAGGATAAAATCTCAGAGGGGTTTCACAGCTGTTAGGGTAACCCCGAGTAACTCTGCCAGTGGGACAAAAATAGGTCACCTGTGTGGTTTATATGGTTTAAAGGAGGAAAAAAACCACTATGATGTTGGTCCTGGTCTATTATCTGGTGGAATTAGGGTGCAAGGATGACACTGAGTTCCCAACAAGGGCTGGCCCTGCCCTGAGGAATTGTTCCCCAAATTGCCCAAATGCTGGTGGAGCATTGGAGTCAGCACAGATCCATCCTCAGTGACCCCAGAACTTGAATATCTCAATGTGAACAGAACCTCAGTTCTTACTTAGGACCCATCTCTATTTCTGCTCAAAGTGAATTTTGTCCAGCTGTCAGCCCTTCCTCCCATTTAATCCCTTTCCTGCCTTGCCCCTATGATATTTTTTAGGGACACTGGTCTGGAGAATACCAAGGATGTTTTGGTTACCCCACTTCCCTTTGCCCCCAGGAGTTGCCACACAATTTCTGAGCTTTTCTTTCTCTCTAAGCCTTTTAACAAAGGCCACAAACGCTTCACCATCTATTTATAGATGACAGGACTTGCTGGGAATGGTGATGAGGCAGAGGCAAACTCTCTGTGTGCTTGGAGAAGAGCCACCAGCCTGTCTCCAGTGCTGCTGGAAAACACAAACTGCTGAGGCTGTTCCAGCTTAGTCATCTCCTAAGGACAGGTCATTGTTTGGAGGCTTTTCCCCAAAAATCCTGGTTCCATCTCCTGTCTGCTGGACGCTGCCTTGTGTCCCCTGCTCTGGCAGGGATAAATGGGGGGTAAATGTGTTCTGTTTAATGAATTCCCACCAAAAGCAAGAGGCATAGCCTTATTCAAAAGGTGAGGGCTGCATTCTCACTGAAGCCAACAGCAGGCTCCTAAAAACCTTGCTAAATATCCTAAGAAACTGATCCCAAGTCCTTTTCAGCAGGGAATGATGCAGGGAAGACGTCTCTTCCCAAATTAAAGCTCAAGTTTACACCTTGCTGATCCCAGGCCTGCCCCAGAGGTGCCTGCACAGCAGTGCCTCCAGCAGCCATCTGCTCCAGCCCCAGCAGCCCTGCGAGTCAGAGAGAGCTGCTGCAACATCTCAGCTAAAAAAAAATCAGCTTGTCCTCTAATCCCACGCTAGGGGAGAGCATCTGCTGCTCCTTGGCCGATGAGATGAGGCTCTGTGTGCCAGCTCCTTCCCCTCAGCGCCCTTCTCAGCATCCCTCCTCGCTTCCCCAGCTGAAATCCCGGCTGCTGAGCCCCTTTTTGCTGCCATGGGGCGGGGAGGGAGAGGCTTGACCTACCCGTGGAACACCCAGGTGCCACATTCATCCGCCTTGGTGATGTAGTTCTCAGGGAGCAGCCCCGAGCAGCCAGTGGCAAGGGAAATGCCATAAATCCAACCCTCACTCGTGCTGGTCTGCTCCACTGGGGACATGAAAATGAAATCCCCTGGGACCAGCTCCAGCTCGTCGTCGTTCTGGGGGGTGTAGGGGTAGATCACTTGCAGAGTCTGGGGGGTGAAAAGCACAGGAGGGTTGTTAATGGAAGGGGATCTCCAGCAGAGGGGTGATTTCCTGGGATGAAGCAAGCTCCAGAGCGTTACCTCGTGGTTGACGAAGCGAATGTCCCGGGAGAAGATCGCGGCCACCCAGTCACAGCCCAGCTTGACATCGATGCTCTGGGCCAGCTTCTCCAGCGTGGGCAGGTGGCTGCTCTGGAAGTGATAGGCCAGGGTCACGTGGAGCTGCTTCTTGTGGGGCTCCACGTGGACATCTGCAATGGGGAGAGGAGGGTTACAAACCCCTTTCTGCCAGGTTAGGTGATGCCTGGGGAAGGCTGAGCTAGGGCAGAGGCTGGACAGATTTCAGAATAAAGCAGGGATTTATTGAAAGGCCCTAAAGGACACACCTTGGGCACTACAAGAGCCTGGCCAGGGCTGCACCCAAGATGGACCTAAAAATGGTCACAAAATGGATGATTGGTCACGAGATCTCACATTTTTATAAGTTTTGGTCCATCTGCATATTGGGGTGAATTGTCCAGTCCCAGCTGCAGGTTATGGAGTCCCACCCTTCTTGTTTTCTCTCTCCAGCCCAGCGCTGTTCCTGCTTTTGGGCCTGGAACTTGTAACGATTGTCCTTGGTATCGAGCTGGAAAATGAATTGTTTTGTCTGCCCACTCTGTGAAGAGAGCTCACTGACACCTCATGTGAGGCTCAGAGCTGCACACTGGGCTGGGCAGAATCTGAGAAATATGAAAGCTAAAACTTAATCAAGAGCCCACGGCCTCTAACAGGAGCTGCACTTGCAAAGATGCTCAAGTGGAACAAATTGGAGTTCAGTTGGAAATGTTGTGAGTGTGAGGTCTCAAAATTGCACCCCAGAACAAATGATCAGAGATTTGGGGTCTGATTCAGCCCTGAGTCACAGCAGAGGCATCCGACAAACAACAGGTGGTGTGACAACTGGTTTCCTGCCAAGAGACAAAAAAAAAAGACATTCTTCCAGGTAAGAAAATCCAGGAAAATTTCATGAGCAGCTTATTCCAAAATAAGCAGGTTAAAAAGCATAGTTTTTGCTCTCCCCTCATTGTTCTCTCTGCTGCAATAAATTACAAGTCCATGGAATTTGCAGGTTTGTGCAAGTTGATTAAATCTTTTCCCTGGAAATTAGTTGGATTATCAGTTTAGTCACTGAGGGTGAGGTATTCCCAAATTGTGGAAAGATAATAATGATTCAAAATGATCCCGCAGAAAAAAAAAGGACCTGCATCAGGAGATGATTCCAGGTGAAAATACATGAAATATTTGGGCTCTTCCAGTAGATGTGGAAATCATGGGATACATTGTTTGCATGTAATTTATTCCTGCTTATTCAACCAAAAATTGCAATTAAATCTGACTGATTATTCAGTCACAATTGCAGCTATTCAGAGGCTTGGCTCCAAGTGTCAGCCAGGGGCAGCTTTGCAAGCTCATCCATCTTTTTGTTGTTGTTGTTTTTCATCAGCAATAAAAAATATGTTCAAGATCTCTGAAAAACACCCCCGAGACTTTAATGTGATAACCTGACCAAGCTGTGTCTGCAATGCAGCAATTGCCTTCCCCTAAAAAACCCCAATTTGGCCTGAATTGGAGCGGTCTCAGGGGCAGAAGATTGTTGGAAGCCACCAGTGCTTCTTTCTTCTGGGTCACTGGGGTTTTCTTTTTTGATAAAAATTGCATTTTTGGCTGTGCTGGAGGGAAACACTGATCCCACTCTCACGTGGCTGCAGCGTCCTTGGACCCACCCAATGCCTGCCTTCCAAAACTTTCTTTTTAAAGATGAAATTCCCTCCCTCTTCTAAAGGGAAGGGAAGTTCTGGCAACACGTTCCAGAGGTTCTGGGCACTTCTGGCTCCCTCCTCTGGAGCAGGGATGGACTCACAGCATTCCTGCGTGGCTGTGGGGTGCCTGCCCAGCATGGAAACACACAGGAATGCAGAATTTGCTGCATCTTGATGTATTTAATCTCCAGGACAAGCCTGGGATAGGGAAGGACTAATCCAGTTGTGCTGTGGGCAGTCCAAGCTGAGCTCTCCAGTGAGTGAGGGTGGGAGGATTATCCAGGGAGATGTTACAGTGCTCCCAGGGTGTTTGGAGGACACTCAGCGAGGTTGTTGAGCAGTGGAGACCACGGGAGGTTCTGGTTCTTCCACCTCAAGAAGCAGGAGAGGATCAGACGGATCAGAGATGGACACAGAGATGGAGCACCGAGGTTGGCAAAGGCACCTGGGGTCTTCTCCCAGAGCCTTCTTCAGACCTCAGAAACGCAGTGGAGAAGCCACCACGGCCTTGAAACGGCCGGGGAAAGTTCCGTGGTGGTGGCTGGAGGCGGCGAGCGGGGCAGGAAACACCGAGCCTCGCTCAGAGCAGCTCTGTGAAAGGTGAAGGAACCAGCAAATGTCAGCTTCCCTTTCAGAAACAGCACTGGAAACTGAGGGTGAGACATCTCCCTGCTGAAAAGACAAAGCACCCAGTGGAGTGTTCCCCTCAGTTTTCACTTAAAAATCAGGGACTTGCTTTTGAGCTTTGCTTCTTGGTGGCATCAGAGCTCTGAGGTTCTGAAAAGGCCCAAACCGTGAGCTCTGGCAGCTGCTTTGCTTCCTCATGGCATCCAAACTTTGGTTTTTCTGACAATGCCCAGGCTGAGCTCCTTCATGACACAAAATTCGGGTTTTCTGGCAGTGGCCAAGCTGAATTCCTTCATTGCATCCAAACTTTGGATTTTCTGGCAGTGGTCACCCAGGAGCTCCTGGCAGCTGCCAGAGCAGTCACTCACCTGCTTTGGAAGCCGCCTCTGCAGCGAAGTCTGCTGCGAACTTCTTGAGCACCTCAGCGCTTTCCTCCTTGACGAAGAGCCCGATGAAGTTGGAGGAGGTGTAGAGCTCCAGGGGCAGCGGGGCAGGGAATTTGCATTTCCAGCGCATCACCGTGGCCTGCAGGGCTTCCGTGAGAGCATCCACCTTGCTGTCCTCGCACTGCCAAGGAAGCAGGACAGGCAAGGCTCAGGAAAGGAAAGGATGTGGGTGGGTGTCAATGGTCTGTCCTTCCCCTCATGCAGTGAGAAAAAGCACAGGGGCATGGGAAAAAAAAAAATAAAGCTATGTTTAGAAATCCTCGTCCCCTCCCTTGTCCTCAAAGCGGGATCAGCTATCCCCAAGTAACCTTCCCAACCTCCCCCCACCCATCCTCACGCTAAGGATCACTGGAGGGGATGAGAATTTGGTCTTCTGCTGCTGCTATTCCCTGAAAACAACGGCTTAAAAAACCAATTACCTCCTCCAGAAGCCCAGGCATGGGCAAAATCCCCCCAGCTCCCCCCTAAACCGGGATGAAGTCTCCAGGCTGAGCCTGGCAAGGAATGGCTAAAGGAGAGAGGGGAGAGAGGAGCAGAGCTTTACCATGAAGAACTGGCAAAGGGTGATGTGTGGGAAGATGTTGTGAGCTTTGTTCTTGCCACAGATCTGCTTTGACTGCTGCCAGAACTCCGAGAGCTTTTGCGCCAGGGGCCCGGTGGGGCGCAGGTACAGGACGTACTCCCGGGGCAGGGTGTCATCCAGGAACGGGTCACCCACGTGGGAGAAGAGCCTGGCAGGCAGAAAGAGCTCTTCAATTGAGAGATAATCACAGATTTTTTTCCCCCAACAGAACCAGTTTCCCCCTTGCTGGCTCATGTTTAGTGTCCCTTTGTGGGAGAAAGCAGCTCTGGTGGGTCAGGCAGAGCGGCGCTGCCTCACTTGCTGCCCATTAGCGCTGCTCAGTAATACAGAAAATTGGGTTTTACTTTCAGGCTGATGCTCTGAAGATCTAACCCAGGTCACTGCTTCTGCCTTTTCTGCCTTTCAGAGTGCAAAACACAGGGAGGAGAGTGCCAGGAATCGTTCCACATCTCTGAGAAGTCAGCTCACAGCTTTTCTGTTCCTTCTCTCACCTGTTCCTGCTTTTGCTGCAGATCACAAACCCTCTCAGACCAGGCTCATCTCTGGATTGTTTATTTCCAGCACTTCAACAGCACCTCACTAATTCTGCAGGTGCTTTCCAGACAACACCCCTGCTTAAACACTCTACACTCTAATGGCTGAAACCCTAAATTCACCATTTCTTCTACTTTTTAACATTTATTACTTCATACCAACCAGTCGCATGCTGCTTGAACACTCCTTCCACCTGTGGATGCCAGCGCTTTTTGTCTGCAGAGAGAGCAAAGTAAAAAGAGAATTTCAGTGCTGCTGGTTCCTACTGCTGTGGGTTTGGACCCTTTCCAATTCCCTCACCCTTTTATTTTTTTGGATGTGCCACCTGACAAATCCCCATAAACTGTTTGAAGGGTAAAGTCACATAACCAGCACAAAATCTGAAATATGGACCTCTGGGTTTTCCCATTTCCCCACATTTTCAGAGAAACAGCAGCATTTAATGGTCTCTTTGCTGGGAATTTCAGCATGAGAAAAAGATTTGGGTCTGAAAGTGCAGGAGTTGCGTTGAGGAGAAGTAAAATTCAACTGCCACGAGAGGGCAGAAAGAAGAGATTTTCCAGGTTAGAAAAGTTCCCTTTAGTCCTTGCTATACTCAAAGAGCTCTTTTGCTCCTTTCCCTTCAGGAATCCTCTAAATCCCTTTTGACTCCAGCTGGGAACACCCAGCTCTCCTGCTCAGCAAGTTTTCCAGAGCAGACCAGCACAAGTTAACAGCTTTAAATGTGGAATTGTGTTTTCCAAATCGTGTTTTCCAAACTGTGTTTCCCAAATTGTGTTACCCCCAGCCCTCAGCCATGTGCTGTTGACTCAGCTGTGCTTCAGCCCTGACCTTGTCTTCCCCACCCCTTGAACACATTTTTGCTCATTTGGAGGGTAAGAGGAAGGCAGAAAGATAATGCTGAAAAAATAAAATAAAATAAAATAAAATAAAATAAAATGAAATAAAATAAAATAAAATAAAATAAATAAAATATAATAAAGTAAATAAAATAAAATAAAAAATAAAAATAAAATAAAAATATAAAATAAAATAAAATAAAAAATAAAAATAAAATAAAAATATAAAATAAAATAAAATAAAATAAAATAAATAAAATAAAATATAATAAAGTAAATAAAATAAAATAAAAAAAAATATATAAAATAAAATAAAATAAAATAAAATAAAATAAATAAATTAAAATATAAAATATAATAAAGTAAATAAAATAAAATAAAATAAAAATAAAAATAAAATAAAAATATAAAATAAAATTTAAAAAATTTAAAAAATAAATAAAATAAAATAAAATAAAATAAAATAAAATAAAATAAAATAAAATAAAATAAAATGGCTGTGTTGCAAATGTGTGATGATGAAAATACTTCCTCCCCAAGCGGTTTTGCTGCCCTCATCTGCCAGCATTCCCTGGAGATCAGCAGAGTGCTGGGCCCAGCAGCTGCCCTCTGGGAGGAGGGATTTGGGGTGGGGAACACTGTGGGTTGGTGTTTCTGCCTTGCTGACCTCGCTCTGCTCTGGAAAATGTTCAGTGCAAAGCAGCCACTGCTTCCCTTCGGAAAGCAGCTCAGTCACAGGAGCTGATACGGGGGAACCTCTCTAAAAGATAAGGGGGACCTCTCTAAAAGATAAGGGGGACCTCTCTAAAAGATAAGGGGGACTTCTCTAAAAGATAAGGGGAACCTCTCTGGGAGCAGTGCTTGGGGATTTTTCCTTCCCTGTTCCCCTCATTTGCTGTGCTGTCCTTGCTCAGTTCACCTCCCCTCCCCTCCCCTCCTGTCTGGGTTGTTTCTGCTCTTTAAAATGTGAGATGTGACTCTGCAAAACTCTCCCCTGACACCTGTGAGGGAAAACTGCCCTCCCAGAAAAGCTCTGGCTGTGCAGTGAGCAGTTTCTCTGGGATTTCCTCTGCCCAGAGCTCTGGAGGAGCTGTGCACAATCCAGGTTCTATCCCCCACCCCTGGGACTCTGCTCCTTCATGACCTGATGATTCCCTGGAACAAATCCCACTCTGCTGGAATTAACTGGGGACCACAAAGGGCGGCAGAGAGCTGAGGCTGGACCCACACTCTGATTTCTAGAGCTGCCTCCATCATCCACAGGGACAATCCACTCCCTTTTCAATTTCATTTTCAGTGTCAGGAGGAAATGCTGCATACAGCAAACAAAGCCAAAGGATATTTTTATCCCAGGACCTACAGCTGAGCAATTTCTTTCTATTTTTTTTCCCTTATTTTTTAATATAGTGCAAGGAATGGTGCACTGATAAATCTCTGCTTCCCTCCCAAAATCCCACCCTGGCCAAAACCTGGAGAGGACACATCCCCCAGCTCCCAGGCCAAAATCAGTTTTTTAGAAGTTGAGTACTCAAAACTGGCCACAGCCATGTGAAACTGGCCTGATTTTCACAACTGCTGAGTGCAGTGGGAGCTGGAAAACACATCCTGCTCCTGAGAAATTCAGGTCACTTAATTAGGTGACAAATTATGGCTTAGGTGCTCAGATTTCCTCATGCTGGGTAGCAAGAGTTGGCTGGAGCATTGCAGGAAAAAAAAAAAAAAAAAGTGACTCAGATGAACCAGAACAGAGGAAAAAGTAAGAAAATAACTTATTTTTCAGAATTTGCTATATGGTGCCACTGAGTAACCATTTCTGGTGATGCAAAATGGGTTTGGGTAGGGCACGAGGAGCTTTGTGCAGCATTTCTGGTCCCCTGAGCCACCCAATTCCTCCAGCTCTTGGCTTCTGCTGCCTCGGAGATGAAGTGCAGGGAAATCATTTAACAGCACCCAGCAACATGGAATAATCCCTTTGAACAGACAGAGGTTCTGTGCAACTGCAGGTCTGGAGAATTTGGGGAAAGGGAAAAAAAAATCCTAATAGCAATGTTTTCCAAATGCACAGCAGGAATTTTATTCACCAGGAAGAATTAAATGCGTTTGATTCTTTAACCTCAAAGGCCTCTCCGTGACACTCTTCAATGTCAAGGCCCAAGGAAAACCTTTCCCCACTCTGTCACTGGTTAAACAGGATGAAATATTCCCAGGAAACATCCCAGCTGACCCCTTGGTCCAAAATATTCCAGCAGAATTGGTGTTGCTGCCCTGGCCCACACATCAATGTGTAAATGGAGCCCATTTTAACCCCAGCTCAGCTGAGGGCAGGGCCCAGAGCTCTGAGTGCTGCTCTGAGAACTTCAATCCTCGCTGCTGAAGGAATTTTGGCTCCCTGACACTTCTGTATGGGTGGAAAAAAATAAGAGGAATGTCAATTCAGCTTGAAATATGTATCAATAAACATAAAATATAATGGCCAAGCCCCATTTGCTTCAGAGGAAATGACTGTAATGGGGAACGAGGCATTAACCATAATGAGAACCTCTGACCTCAGAAGCACCACACAAAAATCCTCCCTCTGCTGAGTGCTCTGCCTTCTGCTTCTAGTCCAGTTTAAAAAGTGTTTGGCTTTATTCAAGCCCAGCTTAAAAAAGGAGGAGCTGCCAGTGGCAGTGAAGACAGTGGGGAAGCCACTGCAAACAGCAAGAGCAAGGCATGGGGGGAACTGTTCTGGGATAAAATATAATGGAGATACAGATACAGCATTAAAAAAGTGTGCAAAGTTCAGGGGGTTGATGCCCCAGCAGGGATTTCCACTGGCTCTTCTTTAGCTTCACTAATTGTGCCATCAGCAGAGCTCTGCCTGCCAGAGGGACCCGGATTTATCTGGAATTTCTGCTCTCAGAAGCTGCAGAAAATGCCAGCAGCAGCTCCTGCCTCAGCCCCAGCTCCACAGGCACCAAGGGATGGAGGAAAGAGAGGGAATGACCAACTCTGCCCTTTCATCCCATCCCTCAAGCCCACACAAACTCCTTCCCCCTGAGCAAATCCCCTCCGAGGGATGAACTCACCACCTGAGCCTTTGGCCCATCAAATATTTTGTACATGTAAATAAAGATTTATTTTTTTTTTTTTAAATTATGATGGAAGTACTTGGCTCTCCTCATCAGGTCCCACTCACAGGCCTGCCTGGCAGGGTAAAATAGGAATTACAGCCCATAATTTATGCCAAATAAGTTTGAAAGAAGGATGCTGTCAAACAGAACATTTTTCCTCAGGAATACAAAATAGGCACCTTCATTTTTGCTTGTTTGTGCCTATAAAACATATTTATATAAACATATATTCAACTAGCTCTATGTATCTATTTAAAGCTTGGCTTTTTCCATCTCTGTTGGTTTCTGGTAAAAGAATAGAAAGCAAAATGCTGGCTGGCTCCAGGGAATGGGGAAAAAATAGGAATTTTCTGTCTGCAGCTGCTGTTTGGAGCAGATCTGTCAGAGCAGGTACAGGTCAGGAGCCCAATATTTAAATTTCTCCTTGCCTTATGTGTCAAAGTCATGGGCTGGGAGGTCCTGAATTCAAACTCTATAACCTACAGGAAAGCAGTTAAAAATTCTCCACAAACAGTAAAATTCCCAGTATTTTTTGTGTGGTTTATTTCCAATTTGCCCACTGAGTGACCTTTACAGATTCATGAATTTTTGCAGTTTTCCTCAATTGTTTATTAACAGCCCAACAAGGGAAATGTTTCAGGCTTTCATTAAACAATCACACATTGAGGAATAGTTTTGGCAGGAAAATTTCTGTGCATTGAATGATTTGGTTATGTGAAGTGGGGAAAAACACCCAAATTCCTGGGTGCCATGAAAATTCCTTAATTATTCTGCACACAAAACCAGCCACAGCTGTTCCTCCTAAAGGTGCTCTGCTCCTCTGAATTCTCAACATGCAGAATTCACTCGGCCACCCCCAAAAAAAATCATATGATGCCACTTCTGTTCTTATTTGGGTGACCTTCCTGCTATAAATAGGCACAGGACAGGAAGATATCACCAGGGATCCAGTTCCTGTTTAGGCCAGGGGGTTGGGGATGTTCCTTTTCTGCATCTGTGAAGGAAAAAACAACAAAACCCCGCGGTGTTTTTGCGAGGAGAACGACTCTGGTACGAGGATAATTAATTTCTCTCCCTTCACTGAGTTTTACCTTAACTTCTCCCTCTGTTTTCCTGCCCAATGACAGAGATAAAACCCTGCTCATGTCGAATTCACTGACTTTAATTGCAGCCACGTTCCCCCCCCCGGAGCACCAGCTGGTTTTACACCCCGAGATTCCCTTTGGGAACGTTCCCAAGCACTGAGCTCCACCAGCAGATCCCA